ACGAACGGTAATTAGTAGGTCTACTTATTTACGTGCTCTAGTGTAAATCAATGCCAAGTTTGGGGTCCGCTGTCGGGTAAACCCCGTAAAAAGTGTTTTCGCGAAATACTCGGGTTCTCTAAATGGTTGGGTGAAAAGTTTTATCTTTGTGTAAACCTTGCAGAACGAGACGATTCGTTTCGCACCATTAAGAAGTTGGTGAGCAAGCAGTTCAAGATAAAGGGTTTTCAGGAATTCTCTTTTGTACAAATTTCGAGACTGAGACTATTCGTTTGGTACCATTCAGAAGTTGGTACGACCAGCGGTTTAGGAAGAGTTACGTTACACACACATACACTGAATCTTATTGTATAAATAGTGTGTTTCATACATTATTATACAACAGCGAACTATATCTTTAATGTTTGATTTTAGGTATGTGTATACTAAAGGACGCGTGTCATTGCTGATGAGGACGTAGGGATATAGCAATTCCATATATTAAGTAGAATATGAAAATGATATAAATTCCAGAGTTAGTGAAGTAATCAATTAGTGAGTAATTAATGAATAATCAGTAGTAGTTATCCGGATTGTTCACACACACGCACTAATTGGCTGCCTCAGGGGGAGAGAAGGGGGTAGAGATGATGACGTTATAGTTCCACGAAGTGGTACCAGAGTGCGCTTTGCCAGGCCGCCATGACAGGTGGATGTTATCCAAAACCCATGTTGCTAGAGGCCCGTATTGGCACTAAAGGGCACGTTAGTATGATGAGCATGCAGACATAATATTATAGTAACAAAGTCTTAAAAATAAGGATTTAATCTAACGTTTATTTTACAGTTTCGCTTTATAAGTAAAGCATTAAATACAATTAATAAAGGCTGACTATGTTACCAAGATTAGTATTTCTATATATGGAGGATGATGAGCTCATCCTTGGGTGTCTCAACATGTGATTGTAATCAATGTCTAGATTTAATTATGTTCTAAAAGTTACAAGCGAAGCTATTATTTCAACGAAACAAGTATTATAACACTGTTACACATGTCAATTTTCATCTCATATATTATCCATCATTTTAACGAGGCAAATATTAAAGCCAATAATTTCCTTTACATAATTTTACAATTACCCATTGCTTTATGTATAAAACACTTCACCAGTTCATTAGTTCAAAAGTTTTTGCTTCCATATTTAACATGCATGACATACTTTCTGATGTTTCTAGAGCTGGATGTGCTACTATCACAGTTAACATACTGATTATAGATGTCGCCTCTATATCTAAGCATGTTTTTTTTTTTGTAATTTCTGAAGAGGATAGATTTTTCGTGACAAAATGTCTAAATGTAATGACTGTTTCACTAGTTTGACTTTATGGTTTAAATATGCTATTAATCTATTCATATAACTACGATTTATATTGTTCTTGACAAAATATTTCATTTTACTCATGTTATTTTATAGTTTTCACTTACATACGTTTTAAAAAGGTAGATGGTGTTTTCGGTGGCGGATAGTGATACTATAGGTGGATGATGCTACTACGCAGATTGTGTTACTAAGGTTCTATAGGCGTATGGATTTATTTGGTGTATTACATGAGTCTTACAAAGGCAAATGGTGTTATTATAGTCCTGTAAGGCTGCATACAGATCTCATCTTATGTTTATAGTTTTCACTTACATATGTTTTACAAAGGCAGATAGAGTTACTAGGCAGATGGTCTTACTAATGTTCTATCACATATTAACCATTATTTGAGCTATTATACATCTATGAAACACTTTACTAATTCATTAGTTTTTGCTGCTATATCTAATCACACTTTTTGCGTTTTCTGATATCTTTCATTTCTATAACTAACATCTATCCTCCTTATAAGTCACTAGCGTTTAAAGGAATTAAATCTTGTCTTGAATTTGAAAGTTTTGTAACACACCCCACATGCATGTACATATATATATATATATGTAATGATATGTACGAAATATGACACTTCCAAATGTGTATATTAGGTGATATATCAGAAATTCTATTTCTGTATCTTTTAAAACCAGTTTATGTAAACTATAACAATTGAGCTTATTCGGTAACAAGAATGAACTTAGTTTATACACAATAGAGTGCAATTCTTGTATTTCAACCATTCTTTACAACGGTCAGTTCGGACTGTGTCAGTCGACTTAGAATAATTTTAATAATGAAAGATAATTTGACTAATCCGTTTTGCTTTTAACAGTTATTTATCTATTTAGATCTAAAAACTACATCAACATGCGAAATGTATGATATTTCATTATACAATGAATGGTAACAGAGCTAGTTGTTTCTGGGTAGTGTTGATAATTTCAGTTACAAATTCAGTCTACAATGAACA